ATCTTGAGAAAGTTACTTAACTTCCTTGATTCTCAATGGCCTCACCATAAAATATGGTGTAATGGCATAGGGTTGTAAATAATGAGGGATATTACTCAGGCATCTACCAATCAGAAAAGGGGTATAGCCATAGCTCTGAAGACCCTGAAGCCCCTGCTAGCCAGTGTGCATTGTTTGGTTTCTGGGTCAGCTGTAAGGTAAGGGTTCCTAGAAGAGAGGCCAGAGTGATGGAAGAAACTACCTGGAACACTGGGGTAGAAGGTTATAGAAGTATATCAGTATTTTAATCACCTTCATATTGGCAGGTATCTTGCTTATGTCACCCCCACTGTATTTACAGTCAGCCCCCTGTATCAGTGGGTTACACATCAAGGGATTCAATCAATTGGAATTGAAAATATTAAAATCATATCAATACTGAACATCTTTTTTCCTTGTCATTATTCCCTGGACAATACATTCTAACAACTAGTTACCTGGTATTACCTGGTAAATTAGATATTGTAAGTAATCTAGAGATGATTGAACGTGTACTGGGAGTGTCTGCAAATACCATACCGTTTTACACAAAGGTCACATGTAGAGTTTCCATTGTGTGTGTGATGCTGTAGATTGAACCCAGGGCCTTTTGCCTGGACAAAGTTAGCAAGACCCTCCTGCTGCCACCTCTTGAGTAGCTGGGATTACAGGCATGTTCATCGTAGCCCCATCTGTGGAGTTTGATATCTACAGGGAGTCCTGGAGGCAATGGCCCATGAAGGAATGACTATAATGTGTTCCTGGCATGCCACTGAAAGCTTCTGGTGTTGATTTTGGCTTCTCTTCACTCAGTCCTTGGTCTTTTCTTTGTGGGGATAGAGTACACACTCTTCTCTCTCCCTTTTCTGCCCCTCTCCACACATACTCTACTGTGTTTCTCCTTCCAGTTGATCTGGTCAGGGTGGAGACCATCTGCTGGCTCCCAGAAGGACAGTCTTAGCCTTGGGGGCCTGAGGTTGGCCTTCGGCACACCTGAGGAATGACCCACAGGATGCCTCCGTCCTTGCCTCTTGCACCCCTACTGGACCCACCACAAGGGATCAATCAGACACAAGCCATGCTGTGCGTGGTTTTGGCTAATGAAAGTCAGGAGTGAGCCTGGTCATATCCTTGCCAAGAACGTGTGCCACTGTTTTTACACGTAATGTTTTACCACGCCGCCCCACTAAGGTTTATATGAGGCTCCAAGTGGGAAAAGTCTCTCAGAGCTCAGAACCTCTTGGAGTTCTTTATATTGTGGTACCAAGCAGGACTTGGGGAAGGGTATGGGGTGGAGGTGATGGTAGAGACCTTACAACTATATGGAAGTCCTTCCTGCTCTGTCCTCTGATTTAACAGTGTGTATAATTTCAAGGTGAAGAAGACAAAAAAATGCCTGGACAGTGTTAAATTATGAAAAGAAACAGTGAGTGTTCCATTAGGACCTCCTAGGTTTATACCTTACCTTAAGGAGGTGCACTGGGGGCAGAAATGTAGCTCTACATATCTGTTCTTGACTTTTCTCTTACCAGACTGGAACTTTTGTTATCTCCTTGTCTCTTCTTGGCCTATTCTCTATATCCCCTTCTATCGGTCATTCCCCAGGCTTGATCCCTGGCGTCCTCACTCTCTCCTTCCAACATCCCAGGTGTAAACCCTGCCCGTGTTTCCTCTACCTAATCTCTCACCCACTCTGCTCTTTTACTCTTTCTGCCCTGAGGCCTACAGAGCAGTGATGGAATGTAGCAGATGCTCAGGAAGCATTTGCTGAACATGTGTGGAAGTTTCCTCCAGAGCACACACCTGCTGCCTGCACCGGTTCTCACTGTCTCCTGCCTCCACCTGTCTGCCGGTTTCCTCTCTGAAGGCAAAGGCTGTCTAGGACCTTCTTGGTCTGTATCATCCTTTCCCATCTTCTTGGCAGTATTTAATGTTGCCCTGCCCTTTTTTTCCTTGGCTGCCTGGCAAGCTTTCTCCCAGTCTCCTTCAACATTATTTAGTTATTTGGAGAACCAGAAAGAACTTTTGTAAATGCCACAATGTACCCATCTCCACCCAGCACTACAACAAAAAACAAATTAAAAAAAATCTTTTGGCCTTTAAATTTGTTTAATCAGGACTGTCTTTTCCTTTCCCTTTCTTCTGCCCTCTGAAGAAAAGGCTCTCTTTCTGGCTTCATTCTCTTTGTGAATTCAGCTCTGCCAGTGGCTTCTGTAATAACACTGTAAGGTCATTCCCAAGTTCTAATGGCTGATCTCAATCTCACTTTTGGCTTCAGTTTTATATTCCAGTATCTACTGTTCATCTCCATATAGGCTTCTAGAAAAAAAATGATTTATTCTGCATTCCCAAACAGCTAATTATGCTAATGCCCACATTTATTTTCTTGATGTCATGATGTCTGCCCATCCTCCTCCAGTTAGTGCATTTCAAAGTGTTGACTTCTGCCATGTGTGGTAGTATATGTTTGTAATTCTAGCTACTGGGAAAGTGGAGGCACGAGGATGGCAAGTTTGAGGCTAGCTCAAGGAAACGTAGCAGTTTTTGAGAACTTGTCTTGAAAACAAAAGGGCTGGGGGCATGCTAGCCTAATATTATTGAGGCCCTGGGTTCAAGCCCAAGGACCTATAAAGTGATAACCTCATCTTTTGAGTTTTTCCTTGAATCCAGCCACCTGACCCTTACTGACTTTTGTCAACTTGTCCGACTGTAATGTGCATTCCTGAGGGCAGTGACCGGTCTGTCTAGTTGTGTTCACCTGCATGTGTCTTAGTGCCCGGCACATAGCAGACATGGAATAAGAATTCAATAAGTAACTTAGTGCCTTATTGTTCTTCTCAGAGACTACAGGCTACTTTTAGGGGAAGAGCGTCATCTGTTTTGTCACTGTGTCTCCTTCAGCACTAAGCTCTGAGAACTGCTCCTTGCCTCTGTGAGAAGCAAAGATGACAGGGGTGGTGGGACACCTGCCTGCAGCCTCAGGGACTTGTGTGAAGCCCCGTGGAGCTCCTCCAATCTCTGCTTTCTGAGCCCATTTATGGGTTTCTGGAAGGGAGGAGACAGAACACAGATCATTGTCAGAGCCACTCCACCAAGAGCCCAGTTCTGAGCACATGGCTACATCCAACATTTTACATCTCTTCTTCTTGCTGCTATTTTCTTCTCCATATTTTCACTTTAGGGACCCTGGTCTGCTCCTCTGCCTTTCCTCTCTACTTCTAGTTCCTATGTACCTTCCTGTTCACCTGCAATCCTAGGATTTCTTCCTCTTACTCCAAGGCAAGGCTGTCTTCTGATATTGGTCACTGTTGCCTGCAGTGTTTGAAGGGGACATGTGCAGAGCTGTCCTCACTGACTTGTGGAATCTCTGGGCTCTTTTCCTCTGGCACCTTGCCATTGTCCTCTCTGGGTGTCATTGTCCTGCTGTCAAAGAAATATTAGTACAGAGTTACTTAGTTGAAGGTTGAGAGATGCACATAATAAAAATGTTATTAGTTGTCCTGAGAGAGTGTAATAAAGGGAGTTTTATGAGGTATAACAGCTTTCTAAGGTTAATGAACCATTTGGCATGTCCTGAAACAGAGCAAGAGCTCCTAAGGCTGGCACTACTAGGGCTTACAGGGCATACAGGATCTGCCTTACATTCCTTACTCGGATACTGCTTTCAGTGTTTTTTCTACTTGTGAAAACAGTGTGAGGGCCATTTCCTTTTGAAAGATACTTTTGAATCCTTTTCTAGGATTTTGTCTGTTTGTTCCACCTTTCCCAGTGGCTCTGATTAGGACTTTATTAGACTACAGGAAGTATCCATGACCCTGAGAGGAGAGAAAGGGCCAGAACAAAGATGGAGTCTTTTGAAAAGCAGGTTTGAGCAACCTGCTTTTGTAATGTATCCTGAGGCAATAGGACATGGGTGACACTTTAACAGGAAACTTTCCTGTGCTCGGCATCAGGAGACAAAACGCAATCACAAGGTGGATTTCTAACCTACACTGAATGGCCAAGCATTTGTTCCAGTTGGCTGGCCTATTTCCCACACTGGCTGGTTTAGGGTCTTGAGTAGAACCACCTTGGACCACAAGGTTCTAAGTAGTTCTGCCCTGGGACCTTTAGATATAAGGACTGTGCCTCTTGGCCTCTCCAAGGCATACTCCACCTTGCCCTGGTTTCATGCTGTATGTGGGGCATTTCAGGGACACAGGAACTAGAATGTAATACAATCTGGGAGAGCAATTGTAAACAAGAGTTATTTAAGTAGCTTCACCAAGTGTCACACTACCTGTTAGTATTATCTTCTCGCAAGCTGGTGTGAGTCTTGAGGCAGCCATATAAGTAGGTAATAGGTTGGTGATGATTGCAGTTAACCTCTGTTGAACTCCTATTGTGTGGCAGGTGCCAGGGGAAGGACTTAGCATCCTAGCCTGCCTTCTGCTCACAGTAGTCCTAGTAGTAGATATTGGTATGCCCATTTTTCAGATGAGGAAATTGAGTCTAAAAGAGATTAAGTAAGTTTTCAAAGTCACACAGCTAGTAGGTGGTAGGGCACCACTACCAGTCTAACTATAAACTGTATGTTTCTTAGGCACCATTGAAACCTATAACAATAGTGGAAACACCAGATTCTAGAGCAGTGGGATAATTCTGGGTTACAGAGACATTCTTAGACTTAGGAGGTGGTGTTTGATGCTAGCTCTCTACCCTAAAGGATAATGCAAACCAAGAATGCTTTCTTCTCATCTCAGCATCTTAAAATGGGTATGTGCAAAAACAAAACCCATAATATTTTAAAACAAATATGACTATTGCGGCTGCCACTCACTGCTGTTACTCTCTGTGAATGCTGCTTGTCCCTGAGCAGGTTTGAAGTGCTTTACTTCATATTCCCTCCCCCCACCCAAGACCTTCAATACTTTAGCATTTGGGAAACATAGTGTTCCATGAATGTAGATATTTGTTCAACTCAAATTTTGTTTTGGTTGCAGAGAATGGCAAATCTGTCCATTGGAAACTGGGCGCTGATAAGGAAGTGTGGGTCTGGGTGATGGGCGAACATCATCTAGATAAACCCTATGACGTGCTCTGCAATGAGATCACTGCTGAGAGGGTGCGGCAGAGAGCGGAGCAAGATGCAGAGGAGCTCAGGTAGGAGATCTCACACAGTGAGGGATTGGCTGCATTTTAAAAGACATGCCTCTTGCTTACAACATCCAGTGGGAGGGCAGGTTGGGATTTGAGGGTTGCAAAAATCATTTTAGCTCTTTCTGGGACGTTTCTTTAGACTTTCAGTAGTTTCTTCCATTCCCACTATGCTATTAAATCATCTGCCTTCTTTCCCCATGTGCTATTCCAACGTTAGTCTGCATGAGTATACAGGTTCCCCAAGGCTCACCACTGTCTTCACTAAAATCTTGTTAGAGCACAGCTCAGCATCAGAAAGATGTGTGAGAACAGCCATAACTGTCCAAGCTTCAGGCCTTTGAAGAAGAAGATTGCTTAGGTGCAAACAGATGAATAATTAGGCCTTCTAGGTGCTTCTGCTGTGTCAGTCATTGGGAGTTCAAAGATGAACAGGAATCTTCCAGTCTAGGAGGAGAAATAGACAGATACACAGTCAGCTATGGCCCATATAGGCTATGGTTGGAACTCACCAAGCCCAGGTAGGAGCCTCTCATTCCGATGCATAAAAGAGTGAATTGTGTGAGCTGAACCTTGAAGGATAAGTTGACTTGCCAGCTGTAAAAGGTCAGGAAGGAAGGTGCGGGGTGGGGGGTGCATAATCAAGACCCCGCAACTTGACTTTGGCCCTTGGGGAAGGTGAGTTTTCTGAGTGCGTGGGGCATATCTGAATGAGTAGTATTCTAAAGGTGCCTTTGCAGGCTGGTGGAGTGGCTCAAGCGGTAAGAGCACCTGCCTTGCAGGCATGAGTTCAAACCTCAGTGCCACCCCCCCAAAAAAAAAGAAAAGAAAAAAATACCTTAAAAAATAAAAATAAAGGTGCCTTGCAGGCCAGATGTAGGAGTTTAGACCTTCTCTGGGGAGTGAGGAGATTTTGAATAAGGAAGTGATATAATCAACTGGGCATATAAGAAGGTGACTCTTAGGAGACAATGAGGTGATGATCTTCTCTGTTGGCAGCCCAGGTGGCCTCTGGAAAGCCACTGGCTCTTAGGCGCCCTCCTCTGGCTCTGGGAAGTGGTTTTGGCAGCCCTACTCTGAGCTGGTGAATGGGAGTTGGAACTGACTTGAGGATATCACAAGGTCCTTCAGTCAATAAGGGCTGGTGATTCTGCCCATGAACTCCTGAGACACTGAAACTATAAATGCACCTCCAAAGATAAAGGAAGTATTTGCCAGTAGGTCATAGGAAGGCAGCATGCTCTGGAAGCCTAGCTTCTGAACCAGAAGTTGGGCAGAGCTGGGTTTAACTCCTGGCGATGGCCCTCTGGGATCTTAGATAAGTTGTAGGATTTCTTGGAGCCTTGTCTGTCGAAGCCAAGGATAAGAGTACTGTCCTCATAGGGTTTTTCTGAGGATTTAGTTCAGGTGTTTACAGTGTCTAGCAAAGGGCCTGGTAGATTATAAGCACTATAATAAGCAACCTATTGCTATTTTTCACAAAGTTTGAATGTAGATATCTGTTTTGGAGAAGCTATGTTGAAGAACATTTTTGACAGTTTTACTTTTATTTCTTTTCAGAAAATCTCAGTCTGAAGAATTTACCAGTCGTCTGAAAACAAAATCACAGCACCATGATCTACAAGCACCAAATAAGTGGGAGACTCAGAATATCTGTAAGACAGCGGCAGAAGAGGAGGAATCAGGACAAGGATCTCGACAAGCACTGGCCCTCAGAGAAGAGAAAACTCACGTGAGTGTTGCAGAGCAACAAATGTGTGGAATTCCATAGCTGGGGGAGATGAAGATCCTGGGGCCTGAGACAAAGGTAGCTGTGCACTAGGAGCTCACACAGCTCTCCTGGGAAAAATGCTTCCCTCCTTAAGATCCTCCTGTTCATTGCATTTTGGGAGAATTGGTCACCGACTTCATGACAAAGATAATGCACTTCTCTTTCATGGGCTGAAAGTATAAGAGAGAACTCTAGGGATAAAATTTGGCCTTTGAAGATAATTTCAGGTGTTTTTGTTCCCATTATATTCCCACTCTGCAACAGAACATGGCAAGATTTTTGTTGTCAATGGCCACACAGTAAACAGCATATGTTTTGTGGCTATACGTGTTCAATCTGTGCAGACGTGAATGAGTACGACTGTGTTCCAGTAAAACTTTGCTTATAAAGGACAGGCAGAGGGCAAGACTTGGGGCATTCCTACTTCTTTTTTTTTTCTTCCTTTCTTATTTTTGTGGACTCTAAACACGGGTGCCTTTTTTGGCTTTGTAGATTCTTCCTGTGATTGTGGGTGTAGTTGTTTTCCCAACACAGTAGAATTCTATACTCAGAGCTGTTATGGTCCAGGTGGCTTAGAAAGCTGAACCATAATTTGCTGCCTTAGATTATGGTTTGGAAGAACAATAAAATTATATTATGAAGTTCTTTATTCTACCAGGAATTTAATTACACTGTGAATTATCAGGGGATTTGTAGTTGTTTGGCTTCCAATCAAGTCCTCAGCCTTATCATGCAAGTGTGCAGGCTTTTGATTTGTCGAATGGGGATATGGTTATTGCTCTGTCCTGCTTACTTCCTGGGCCTGGTAATGCTCTGATAATTAACATGGATCAAGGGTTATGGTAAAGTATATGCAGATTGATGGGTGTTTCATTTGATGTTTATAACATTATGAATTGGCTGCTGGCTAATTTGTCCATTTTATAGGTAAGGAAACTGAGGCTAGGTGTGGTTAGGCAACATGCCTAAGTTCTTGTTCATACCAGGTCTACACCTTAACTCTTAAACCTTGTGCTTGATACCTCATTACATATGTAGAACATGAAGGAGTTTTCTAAAGCACTACAAATAGGAGGCTCAGAGTATTTAGTACAATATTCTAAATTTGGTTTATATGCCAGGGTCATCCCTGAGCACTTTCCACAGATGCCCAGTGAGATCCCTAACCTTCCCAGGCCAGGTGTGCGCTCAACATGTTTAATACCAAACTCCCTCCAAGCAGCAACCTTTCGAAGGCTCCTAAAATAAAGACCAACAGCAACAGCTAACCTCCTCCAAGAGCATTTTGCCTAGTAAAGTTTTTTCCAAAGGTAGGGCAAAGAAGTAAAATAGAAACCAAATAGTAACCATGGTTGTCATTCTGTAAGCATCATATCATAAATATTATAATATCATATCATAAATATCATACAGAGCCATTCTACCCTTAGATGTCTGCCGAAGTATCAAATGGAAAGAGATAAGGATGGAGGGAAGGAAACATTTAGTAATAAGGAACAAATGGGTGACAGGTTTTTACATTTCTGCTTTTCAGTTTTCCCCATGTCAGAGATCTGTCTCCTGACAGATCTCCCATGGTGTTTGCTGAAGTTCACTGTGACAGCAGGATTCTCAGGGAGGAAGCTGATCTTCACAGCTAGTGCCAGCATTTAAACGGCAGGCCATCTTCTACCACATCTACAATCCTCTCACTGGCAGATTTACATTTTTATTATAATTCCTGTCTGTGTTACCATAGTAAGTTGAATAGTTTCTCTCCCAAACTCATGTCTACCGAAAACCTCAGCATGTGAGCCTATTTGGAAATAGATTTTTGCAGATATAATTAAGTTAAAGCTCTCAAGATGGGATCATTCTGGGTTTAAAATCCAATGACAGGCATCTTTATGAGAGAAAGGCAGAGGGAGAATTGGGAGATAGAAACATAGGGAACATGGCCAAGTGAAGACAGAGAGTGGAATGGAGTTATGTGGCCCCAAGTCAGGAGCCACCAGACGCTGGGAGGGCAAGAAGGAGCCTTCCAAGAGCTGTTAGAAAATGCACAGACTTGTAGACACCTTGATTCCAGACTTCTGGCTTCTGGAAGTATAAGAGTAAATATCTGTTGCTTTAAGCCACTTAATTTATGGTAAGTTGTTGCAGCAGTTCTAGGAAAACTAATTAAGTTACCTATAGTACACTTTTTTTTTTGGAAATGCTACATCGTTGTGTCTTAATTATAAAATAGTTGCTAAAATGGAGCAGCAACCATTTTGGAAAGACTTACATACTTTCTGGTGTACCAGAAATAATTTGAACCTGATATCTTTAATCTATTGGTGCTATAACATTTAGCTCTTGAGTTTCCAGCTTATGAAAAAGGGATATATAACCTACCTATGAGGCAGAATAATTGCAAAGATGTCCACATGCAGATTTCTGGACCCAGGAACACGTTACTTTCCATGGGAAAAGGAACTTTGCACCTATGACAAAGGGTAAGACCTTAAGGCAGATGATTATCTGGGGTTGTCTAGGTGGACCCAATTTAACCATACAAGGTCTTAAAAGCAGAGAATGTGTTCTGGCAGAGGCAGAGAGAGATGTGGCTGTTGAGTATAATGGTCAGAAAGATGTGATGATGTTGGTTTTGATGATGGAGGAAGGGGCCACACATGAACCAAGGAAGACAGGCAGGTGCTAGAAGCTGGAAAAGGCAGGGAAATGTGTTCTCCAGAGCTTCCAGAAAGAATGCACATCTGCCAACACCTTGGTTTTGCCCAGTGTTGGAACTCTAACTTATGGAAATGTATGATAATAAATGTAGTATTTAAAACCACTGAGTTTATCATGATTTGTTATAGCAGCGGTACAAGATTAATACAATCTGGTAGGATTTTATGATCAGTGAATGAGATATAGGTACAAAACACTTACTTCAATTCCTAACATATTGGATATTTGGTTAGCTCACTTGACTCCTCCCCTATACATGTAGACAATAAGGAGAGGGAATCCTAGGACTCATTCCTAGGATTCCTTTCAAAAGTATTTTGAGTTCCCATTATGTGCTAGGCATGGAGGTGACAATGATGGAATGCAAACAGAATCTCTGCCTGCATAAGCTTTACGGTTGGGGAGGCGGAGAGAGACCTCACACAATGTGAATTTCAAATGATAATAAGTGTTCCCAGGGAAGAGATGAGTTTTCATGCACCCCCAACACATTAGGACTTCAATGGTACAAGGGAGTCCAGAATGACCTTGCAGAGGATATGACCTCGAGATGATGACCAAAGGACCAGTGGGGTTGTGGTTCCAGTGTGGACAAAGGCAGTGTGGATAAAGCTTTGGAACCAAGCAGAAGGGGCCCATGAGTATCTTATTAAACGGAGAATAAGCAAGGCCAGACAGGACAAGGTCTGGGGACTATTATGTATTTTAACTCTTCTTTTTCAAGAATAATTGGAAATTGTCAGTGGTTTTGAGAAAGGGGTTGACCTACTCAACTCTATACTTTGAAAGGAATCAGTTATTCTTGCATCACAGTGAGTTTAGGAACAAGGCAGCACAGCCTAAGTTCCTACGCCTGGGTGCCCAGGGGTCCCCAGCAAAAACAGGAGCTCCTGGAGGAGGAGCCAATTGTAAAGGAGGAGATGAGTCTGGTGTGATCACAGCCTGGGTTTCCCATGTGGCTTGCAGTAGTTGTGGTGGACAGAAGCCAATTTATGGCTTAGCACATGCAGTTTAACTCAGAGTCCACAAAGCTTTTCCTCATGGAGTTATTTCATTTCCCAGCACTCCTGTGAAGTAAACCATGACAGAACTAGCGTTTCTTTTGAACAGATGAAACTGATGTTCAAAGATATTACTAGGTTCGCCTCCAAATCACAGATTGCAATGTCCTTGTTTTGCATATCTATGTTAGTCCCTATTCTCATCATATCTTTGACATGTTTAAAAGAGAACTCATCACCTTCCCCCAGACCTTCTCTTTTGGATGAGAACTCTGCTGGGAAATCAAGGCTAGTGCACTGAAAGTCATCCAGTACATTTCCAAAATGCAATCAGGTTTCCCAACAAAGATTTCCAGGTTTCAGCTACAGTGTGTTTTAACTATAATATTTAATGAATATTGTCTTTAAAATTACATTACAAGGCTTAAAATGTATTATGAAAAGAAAAATCTCCCAATAATTTTTGTTGAACTTAGTAATCGTAATGCATAGCAGGGAAGGATATAAAGAGCTATCAATTTTCCAGGATTATAAACACTATTCAAAGAGAATCAGCTATGTTTTACTAAAGTAGTCTTGTTAGATATGTAATATATTTCCCGAGGACAGGTCATCACCAGAAACTGTACACTGTATGCTGATATAGTATTCCAGATCTGAATCTGAAAGAAAGCATTCCCTACCACTGTGATTTGGTCTCCCGAGGGCTGTGGGGAGTGTTACCAGAAAAACGCATGGATAATTTCCTTGGTTCTTGTGTCTGGAGGGAAAAGAATTCAAGCAGGATACAAAAGATGTAGTAAAAGTTAACAGTAAAATTTATTAGGAAAGGAGTACACTTTCAACAGATTGAAAGTGGGTTGTTTCTAGAGTGAGAACGATAGGGTCAGGTTTTAAAGTTGCAAACTCTTAGCTGTGGGTCCTTTTGGCCTCTGGGATGATTTCCTGAGTTTGGGTCATTGTCTTGTTAAGAGAGGCTTTGAGTGATCTACTAGTTCCTGCTCTAACTGATGGAGAATTTCTGTTTGAAATTGCTAACCTTTGCTCTACCTCGCTCTTAGGTTTGGGTTTTTGTTTTGTTAAATTTACTTGTGAAAACCTCCCTGCACTGGACATAGTTGATGTGGATTACTCCTGGATTAAGAGTGAATTAAGCTTTAGGGCAGTTAGTGGTTGGCTAACTTCAAAGTGTCCTGTGATAACCCCTGGGCTATGATCTTTTTTCTTTCTTTCTTTTTTTTTAAT